ATGATAGTAAGAAAAATCACCGTCTTTGTTTTCTGTAATTCAACCATTATGTCTCTATGTATATGTACAGTAAGTACAGGGTATCCACGACACAACAGTCTAGAATCTGAGTCAAGGTGCTTCACACTTTGTTGTTGGGGTGTGCTGTGGTGATGTGTGCAGTGCCAAGTGTGCACGTTGTGTGTTGAAGTCGCACTATGCACCACAGGCGAGAGGCAGCAGAGACGATGTTCCCTCGCACATCTGATTTTGAATGAAGTTTGGCTGGTCCCCACTCAGTGTCCCCCACTACTGTCACACCCTCACAGTCCCACCTCAGTCGCATCTGCGATGAGGTCAGGATGACCGTTAGCTACTCTTTCCTGGACTCAGTTACAGTCTTAGAGTACAGAGCAAAAAGGGGGCGTGAAGGGGCAGGCACAATGCTGTGTGTGCAGTGCTTATGGAAGCCAGAAGAGAGCATCCGATCCCCTGGAACTGGAGTTACAGAGTTGTGAGCTGGGTGCTGGGAACTCAACCCAGGCCCTCTGAAGAGCAGCAAGCAAGTCCTCGTAACCACTGAGCCATCTCCCCAGCCTCCGAGCTCTTCTTCAGGTAGAAAACTCTCCCTCTTTCTATCCAACAACAGACATCACACCTCAGTGAGGTAGGAGACTGTGCAAATCTTCCCTGGTTATTGCAGTACCATACGGCGCCCCGACTAACACCAGCATCCTATCCATTCTCCATATTCCTTTCAAAGAGCCTTGTTCCTGTCATCACAAAGTTGACTTTCTCTTCCCATCACTGTTTTGTTGCTACAGCCATCCAGTCAGGGACAACAACTGTCCCATTGGCACCACAGCACAGGTTAAGGGACTCCATTTGTGAAGTACATACTGCATCATCTTCCTCATTGAAAATTGGATCAGGGTATTTCAGATTTCAGATTTTTAGCATCTGTATATACATAGTGGGGTATCTTGGGGACAGAATCCAAATCTAAACACAGTATTTTTTGTTTCACATATACCTTAACGTTACAGCATGATGGTAATTTTATAAAATAGTTTCAATCACTTAATACATGAAACAATGTTTTTCCCACTGTGTCGTTATGATGGTGCTCAAAGTTGTCCTAATTTGGAGCATTTTAGATTTCAGGTCTCCAGAGTAAGAACATTTAGCCTGCACTGGAGATAAAGGATATGTGAAGCCCTTCAGGAGTCCCAAGCATGGCCTGTCAGATTTTAATTTATAAAATTGTTACTTCATAACAGAAACCTTATCTCAAAAAAACAAAAAGACTCATTCTTTTTTAATCACCTTTTTTGTTATTGATGATGATGAAATGTAATATTCTCATACCTCTATGTAGATTATGATTTTTAACTAAAGCATGTAACAATAAAGGTTTATACTTTTTAAATGTTCATAAATATCCAAGAATGGTAATGTTTAACCAACTTTTAGAAATAAATGGAAATAAAATCTTACAGTGAGATCCGTCGGAAATAAAATCATACAGTTCATTGCTTTTTATATCTATTATGTCTAACGACTTAACTTCTGAATTAGTCAGGTTTAATGCCCTTTATGGCATGCACAATGATCTGATAGCACATCACTATGAAAATTGCCACAGAACAACTTCTCAGGGTATTTCAGATAAAGTAGAAAAGAATTTCACATTGGCTTATGGAGTTATTATAAAGAGAGTTGAGAGATTAAAATTATGCCCAAACAAAAATATTCAAGTTCCTATCTAGGAGCAGAAACTGTTACAGCTAAAAACAGACATCAGGAGAACTGTAGAAGTTAATGGAAGCCAAAACAAACACATTCCAAAGGCAGGTCATTTCTGAATGCTTTCCTTACTTTTGCCATTGAACTTTCACACTTCTTCCTTCATGAAACATTGCTCGGGTTTTTATAGTAACACACACACACACACACACACACACACACACACACACACACACATACACACACACACACAAAGAAAGAAAGAAAACGTGTCACTCAAATGTTAAAGAGAATCATTTAGCAGAGAGACAAGTTCACGTTCTGAATCAGTGAACAGATAAACATTCACAAGTCATACAATTTGAAGCAGATTATAAATTGTTGCTTGGATTTTACAATCTTCAATATGCATTGATTTTAGTAATTTTGGGGATGTCAAAAATGGGGCTCAGTGATATACTCATTATCTGAATAATAATTATAAAATTTCACCATGGTTTATATTGTTTAAATTAATTTTTAAAATATTCCCATCAGATATTATTACAAAAAAAACGCTTCACTCAAGTAAGTACAACATATTTAGGGTATTTTTTGATAATATGCACTGACTGCATTTGTAACTATAAAGCAAGTTGATTCCACTGTAATTACTGCTTCTCCCAGAGAAATAGCTCCTCAGCCTGGTACACGAGAACAATCTCAACAGCACAATTCATGACTATTAAAAATGCAACACAAAGAATGATTTATTCTCTCAATATAATGCCATATATTCCTGTAGTAAAATGAAAAGAAAAAGGAATCCATCTACATTTAAAGAGGAACAGAAACCATCTGATGTAGACATGAAATTCATGTAGTTCTCATGATTAGCAAGGGAAATAAGAGATATATTAGAAGAATTCAATGGATGTGATCACAGAAAAATAGTACACTTACTATATTATGACTAGTAAAATCATATCAAAGACTAAGCATTAGAAATGCATTTATGAATAAAGACAGCAGGTTACTGAATGCCAAGAATGGCAAAATTGGGGTTTTTATGTTAGTGATTATCAGACATGACTAATCAATTACCAAATCTCTGTAGCAGATCCTGGATTTCTTTTTAACACATACCACAGAGAGCCAATACCAATCCCTGAAGGATGGCATTAACCCTGAGGCCTATTTATTACTCCTGCTCTCAGTGACATTGTTCAAGATGCTCAACTGTGAAATCTTGCCAGCTAGCAAATACACATTACTACTACTAGTCAAGCAAAGGATGGCTTTCAAAACCATGCAAAAATGTGAAACATATTACAAAGGAAAATGAAAAAATTACAATATATAACATTATTATTTAGAGGAACAAAATCAAATGCCATTGCTATCTGTAGTCTAGAATGGTTTTGATTCTGATCATTAACAGCTCATTCTCTTTCAGGGTAAGTCTTCACTGCAAAAAGTATGAAATTAAAGCAATTGTTCCCCCAAATACAGCACACCAAAAATTAAAGATCATTATAGGGCTGAGAGATTATAAATTTACTGCCTGCTTGAATAACATGGTTAACTCAAGGCTACCCTGGAAAACAGTCAGACCCTGTCTCAAAATAAAAACTAAAAAGAGGGCTTGGGATTTAACTCAGTGGTAGAGCACATGGGAGGCCTAAGTTTTAATCCCCAGGACCTGTGGTGGGAGAAGGAGGACACAGTATATTACAGATAACTCACAAATTATTAAAGTAATTTAATGATGTGCATTACTTAAGACTTACAGCCACAGATGCCTAACAGAAAAAGCCCTAAGAGCAGATACTATAGAGAATTTGATGAAATGTGCGATACATAAAATATCTTAAAATCTCAGAAGAAATTGTAAATTTTCTCAAAATATAAGAGCAAGACTTTTTATGTTTTTAGACTTATAGTTGGTTTAGCTGTAGCTTGTCTAAACAGAAATGTTCATTAAGGTTTACAAATTTCTACAGTATGACTTGGTACATATTTATACAAAGTTAGGCAGAAGTATAGTGGTATGGCTTAGTCATAGTCATCTTAATTTCTAGGAAAATAGTATCCATCCTGACATTTCTAAAAAGTAAATGCAATTGTTGAACAATATTAAAACAGTACTGCAGAGGTGAACTGGCTGTAATTCTGTATTTTACAACCTCCCCACAATTCGGAATCAATACTCTCAACACGGTATCACATCAAATGCCGAGTAATGAGAAACCTCAGTCAAAAGCGCAGAGCAATAATGAAACCAGCAGGTAAGGACTATGGCACCTAGGCGTGACAATGAACCCTCCTCTAGGATACGCAGTGTGACACACTGCTTCCAGCAAACGAAATCTGCACCAGCTTTCCACATCATTTCCTCATGCCCACTTAGCCACATCTGAGATATGGCACAAATTCTTCAACAGATCTCAAAGTGCACTACATTCCACATTCAACGTCACCCTCAGCTACGAACAATTAAAACCACAACCTAGGGGCAGGAGAGGTGGCTCAGGGGCTAAGGGCTCTTACTGCTTTTGTAGAGTTCCCAGCACACATGATGGCTCACAACATTGGTAATGCATTCATAGGGGACTGGACACCCTCTCCATTCATAGAAAATAAAAAAAGAAATCTTAAAGAAATACAATAAAACCATCATCTGTGGCGCAGGATGACCAGGCCCCTATGCAAAAACCAGAGAGACGTCTTCTAACATCTCCTTTGAAATAACAATTATAAATCTTTTACCCGTGGCCAACTTCACAGTTAAGAATTATTGCAATAGCTGGGTGTGGTGGCACACCCCTTAATCCAGCACTCAGGAGGCAGAAGCTGGTGGATCTCTGTGACTTGGAGCTTAACCTGGTCTACAAAGTGAGTTCCAGGACACCCAGGGTTACAGAGAGACCATGTCTCAAACAAACAAATAGGAACAGGAAAACAACAACAAGAAAGAGAGAATTACTCTCCTGGTATGATTTTAGAAAATGACAGCAACCCATGAAGCCATTTTCTGACTTCAGTGCAGGCCATGTCAGGCTATTCAGGATTACAATAAAGCAAATTCTAATCACAAGGTTAAACCAGCTTCTAATTCGGTACTTACCTCTAGTAAAGGATGAATCAAGTGTTTCTGGAAAACTATCAAAGAATGCTTTCACACAAAACATAAAAACCAATATACAAGCTTTAAGGAATCTACTGTAGTATTACAGAAAACATGTTAGTTTTCTAGGGTTGTAGCAATAAAGTGAAAATGTCTAACAACTTCTTACCTGTGTATACAGTTCTTGCTCTCGAGATACAACATGCCAGCTGCAACATCCAAGGAAAACCTGACTAGCTGCTTGAGCTTTAGTTCATCCTTCCTCTTCCTCAGAAAGGACAGGAAATCACCTCCTAGAGGAATTGATGAAGAGAAATGAGATGAATCCTGACAGGAGTCATATGTCACATTTCTAGCCCGTTAGGATGCCTGACAGAATGAGCAGCCTTTGCCCCAGTTTCTTATGCTGAGGACAAAAGAAACATGGAAACAGCACATCCTGGGAAGCAGGCGCCATCACTTTTCTAGACACGTCAAGTATGTTGAGTGTCTCAGCCATGAACTGCCAAACACTTAAACACAGTCAAAGACAAACTTGTCCCTTTGCTTCTGTGTGCACTGATTTATTTTATTGACATTTTCTAAGAAACTTTATTTTCTCTAATGACAAAATACAACTTAAACAAAAAAGTCAAATGATATTAATTTGTAAATTTAGTGACCGACTAAAAATTAAACTATTTAAACTAAACCATGTTGTGGAATATTCCTTTACATTGTGTGAATATATGTCGCTGTGACTGGTTTAATAAAGAAGCTGACTAACCAATAGCTGGACAGGATAAGGTCAGGCAGGAAAGCCAAACTGAGAATGATAGGAGGAAGAAGAATGGAGAGGAGTCACAAGCAGATGCAAAGAGAAGCAAGATGGGCATGCTGTAATGAAAACAGGTATCAAGCCACATGGCAAAGCACAGATAAGAAATATGGATTAATTTAAATGTAAGAGTTAGCAAGTAACAAGCCCGAGCTATCGGCCAAGCATTTATAATTAACATTAAGCCTCTGAGAGGTTACTTGGGAGTGACAAGAGGGACAGAAACTTCCGCCAACAAATGGCGTTCCAACGTGGAGCCAGAATTTCCACATAAGACCTGACAAAGATTAAAAAAGGACTCTAAACACACAAAAATGGAGTCAAACTCAGCTTCTTGCTAATGCCTTTTCTTGGGAAGACTGTTTGCTAGCAGCAAGCAGAGGCGCAGCTCCTGTAAGAGAGGGCTTCCTGTCTCAGTGCTAGCGGCGAAATCACACAGCTCTTTTCAGAGGCCCTGCTACCAAACACTTAAATGGGGTTTATGACTCAGTGACAACACAGACCCAAAAACTCTCCAGAGCTGGGACAGTAAACGTGGCTCTCGCAGGTACCTCTGTCATGAAGCCTGGCTCTCAGAGAACCAACTGGGGCAGAGCCAACCCCCAATACAGAGGTTCTAGCCATGCCTCTTACAGTTTAAAGGCTCATACAGTCAGAAAAAGATTACAGATATGCAGTAAAGACAGAATCAGACAAAACAAAAACAAAACAACAACAACAAAAAACACTTCTGAATGGGTTACAGTGTGTTTGAAAATATACATAGGCTTGGGAGAAAAAAGAGAAAGAGTGTATTCTTAGATTAAAAAATATAGTTTTAAAATAATAAAGTCCTTAAAAAAGGAATAGAGAAAAAAATATAATAAGCCATGTAATGATGAAAATACAGAGTCTGAATTCTGTATGTTACTGTGCTGTCTTTAGATTTTCTGACTGCTGATGAAGGAACAACAGCTGCTAAGACACATTGGATTAGACCAACCTATATATTTAAAAAATGTGTTGACTTTAAAATGGAACTCAAAAGATATGTTACTTTGGGGAAGAGGTTACGCTTTTATTTACACAGAAAATGGACAGAAACTTCCGCCAACACCATGTCTTTAAAGACAGGCAGATACACACACACACACACACACACACACACACACACACACGTACACATGCACATACACACACAGCAGGCTATGATTCTGATACAATTTTTTTATTCATCTACTATGCATGTTTGCATATCAAGCAGATCCCACTGATGTCTTTCTGGCTGTTGGCCCAGCCTCCAACAGCTGAGCCATCTCTGAGCTTTTTAACCACCACAGTCCAAGACAAACATACTATGATCCACACAGTAATTTAAAACTTACAATTAGTCTTATTTTATGAATTAAAAAAAAGTTAAAGTGATTTTCAGAATATATTTCTCTTATCTCAATAAATCTCAAATCTTAGAAATATGTTAGTTTATAAGCAAATTTTTATTTTAAATATTTAGTCGATATTTAGATTTAATAAAACTTAGAACTAAAAAATAGACGCATATGTTTAAGTTATCCCAAATATTCCCTTATTCATTTATTTATTTGTTTGTTTGTTTATATTTTATGTGTAAGTGTTCTACATGTATGCCTGCATGCCAGAAGAGGGCATTAGATCCTATTGTAGATGGTTGTGAGCCACCATGTGGTTGCTGGGAATTGAACTCAGGACCTCCCAGAAGAGCAGCCAGTGCTCTTAACTGCTGAACCATCTCTCTAGCCCCTATCCAAAAAATTCCTAAAAAGTTCCTGACAATTAAGTCAAGCATAAAAATGTAAACTTAAATCAATTAAAATTAAATGAAATGAAAGTTCAGTATTTAGAAGCACTGACTACATTTCAAGAGCTATATACGGGCAGGGTTAAGCGGAGCACTTAGAGCAGCCTCATTTACATCATGCACGCACTGTACTGCTTGGGAGCTTTTCTAGACATGCTGGGCCTCACACAACACTAAGTCAGAGCGGCAGCAACTGCATCTGCTGAAGCAGAGCCAGGCTAGTTTTCTTTCCTCTCCTCCTTCTGCTCCACCTAACAAGCCCTTTCCCTGCAGACAAACCTGGTGCCTTGCACACGCCAGGCAAACTCTCAGTCTCCATTCATTCTCAGAGACTGTTAGCATCTGTGGTTTTCTTTCTTTTCTTTTTTTTGAGGATCATTTATAGTTTATGGCATTAAAGAGAAAGAAAAATATGTTTGAACACATGACCTTAAAAACGACCATTCACTTTCTATCAGGCCTCCTCTGTATTAAACTACAAATCGTCAAGAAGGATTACCCGCTAGTCGCCATTCCCTGCACCCCTTTCACACTCTGCTAAAGACTCAGGTATTTAAACAAAAAACTCTAGAAGAGACGAGTTAATGGTTTTTTCCTTTGGTGAGAACAACTGGAAAATAAACACCCACCTAAATCTACTTAAAATTCCCCTTTTCTCACCTTAGTCACAAATTAAGTGTTACATATGTTTTGTGGGCCATTTAGAAAATCAATAGGATTTTACCTTTCTAAAAACAAACTTAAAAGGCAGGTCATTCACCTTTTCTGTTCATTTTAAAGATTTATTTGTATTAAGTATATATACATAATATATAATATTAAGTAAGATGCAGGTTTGGTGAGGCCGTGAGTTTGGGATCAGCAGTGGAGAGGAATCCCATGTTGTCACTCTGTTTGGGTTAAGGATAGGCTTAGGGCAGGAGCTTGGCACCATCTAGGGAGAACCTATTATTTCAAACTGAGCTGCTCTGGAGGCCTGGGAACTGGGAACCACCCCAAGACAGGAGTCTTAATTTTATCTGCAGCAGTGTCGGAGGAACCTGAGGAGCGTGGGAGGAGCAGACATTAGCTTTACAGCTGAGAAGTGCAGGCTACAGGAAGCAAGCTCTACTCAGGCCCGGAAACAAGGGGAGGGAGCCCCACTGGAGCTGCCAAGAGTGAATCTCAGCAACTGAGAACAGGCTTGGGCGAGGGGGTGGACGACTCTGAGGACACCTATCTGCCACCTACTGCTGCAGGGCCCTAAACTCTACTTCACACCCGCAGATGCATCCCTTCAGCAGGGCAGCTCATACTGGGGAGATCTTGAAATAACAGACCTCAGTGCTGTGGCTGCTTCTCACACACTCACCTACCTGGGAGAGACCCTAACCTACAAATGACCTACCGCAAAGATGCAAGCTGGCCACGCTGTTCTAACGGTCTGCTTTCCCCTGAGAGGGTAGTGAAGCTGGCCACGCTGTTCTAATGGTCTGGTTTCTCCTGAGAGGGTAGTGAAGCTGGCCACGCTGTTCTAATGGTCTGGTTTCCCATGAGAGGGTAGTGAAGCTGGCCACGCTGTTCTAACAGTCTGCTTTCCCCTAAGAGGGTAGTGAAGCTGGCCATGCTGTTCTAATGGTCTGGTTTCTCCTGAGAGGGTAGTGAAGCTGGCCACGCTGTTCTAACGGTCTGCTTTCCCTTGAGAGGGTAGTGAAGCTGGCCACGCTGTTCTAATGGTCTGGTTTCCCATGAGAGGGTAGTGAAGCTGGCCACGCTGTTCTAACAGTCTGCTTTCCCCTAAGAGGGTAGTGAAGCTGGCCACGCTGTTCTAATGGTCTGGTTTCTCCTGAGAGGGTAGTGAAGCTGGCCACACTGTTCTAATGGTCTGGTTTCTCCTGAGAGGGTAGTGAAGCTGGCCACACTGTTCTAATGGTCTGGTTTCTCCTGAGAGGGTAGTGAAGCTGGCCATGCTGTTCTAATGGTCTGGTTTCTCCTGAGAGGGTAGTACTACAGAACGGGCTCCCAAGAGAAGACTGACCACTAAGGAGATCCTCATTAAAACCCACTAGGAATGTCCAAACAGCAGATACGAGACAGTAAAAAGAACAATAACAACAACAAAAAAGCAAGGCAACATGTCTCCTCTGCTACTGATTCACAAATATGGAAATAGATATAAAGCCAAGTGAAGGTTTTGAAAGTTTACTAATAAAATTCATCAAAGACCCAAAAGAGGATACAAACAAACGAAAAATTAATCTAATTCAGTCATGACATGGTGAGGAACACTGGCAACATAGAGAAAAAAGTTAGAAAAAATGGCTAAGAAAATCAGCAATATTAATGAAAAAGGCAGCAACATAAAAGAAAAATTCAAGTAAGAAAATCCAGATTTGGAGAAAAAAAGCATAAAAAGACATGAACTGGGAGGACAATCTGTAATCAGGATGTATTGTATGAGAGAAGAACCGATTTTCAATAAAAACAAAACAAAACAAAAAAACTCAATAAACCAAATAAAAAACCCACAATATTATAAATAGACTTGACTAAGTAGAAGAGATATGAGGAATGGAAGATAATGGCGAGTGAATTCTGTACTTAGATATCAGCAACAGGGAGGGAAAACTCAACATTTCACCACCACCCATGAATTCTTGCCACATGATCAACCTAAAACA